TAATTTTAATTCATGAGTGTCTTTTTACCTCCAATACTGCTGCTTTCAACACAGTAGCTGCTTTTAACAGAGTAGCTGCTTTCAACACAGCAGCTGCTCTTTACACATTGGAAATATGTGTTTTTTCTGATGGTCTTAGGCGACCCCTGTGAAAGGGTCGTTCGACCCCCAAAGGGGTCGTGACCCACAGGTTGAGAACCACTGCTGTACAGGAAGTTATGGGTAATACAGTCAGTGGGGTCTTCTTTCTCAACCTGCAGTCTGCTGATTGGCTAGTGAAGGAGCAGTAGGAGACTGTTCCTGCTTTATACCATGTCAGATTCAGGTAATTCCATCGCTTGCATTTGCAATTGGTACAGAGCTGTAATATTTTGTGTATTTTACAGACATGGATAAATTGTTGGCACCTTTCCACAAAAAAATTAACAATTTTATAAAAACAGTGTATTTTAAATAAAACAAATGAAAATGGCATGGACAAAAATGATGGTACCCTTAACCCCAACATTTTGTAATATATATATGTGATTCGGCTTTTCCAAGTAGGGGCGCACGCACCTGCCTGCTCTGTCATTGGCTCCCTTACATGCCAATCACCGATTTTCAAGCAATTTTCAACCATGCTGCAGACATGTGCTTTTAACACAATCCATCCGCTATACCGGCTGGGAGTATATGTACTTTAGTAAAGCTGTCTGTCAGCATTCAATGTGGAAATGATACTGTTGATCATATCCACAACCACCATAATGTGCCACCCCCCCGCCATGTTTTCCGGGCCCCACTGTCCCACATATGAGCCCAGTGCGATTATGTTGCTGGGAAAGGCGCTGGGAGTTCACAGACATCTGTCTGCTCTTCTTCCCCCCCCCCTGTGCACAGACCAGGCAGTGACTTGAATGATGTCACTTCCTGGTCCTGAGTTGTCAATCACCGGGATCAGTGCCCAGGTAAGTGGCTGATGGAACATGAACTGTGTTCCATCAGCTGTACTGGATTACGGAGGAAACATTCAGATGTCTAATAGATAACGAATTCTCATAAAGTCCCAAAATGTCACGTATATGCTATCACATAGGGGACTATTCATCCCCTATGTGATAGCAATAAAGTAGTGTACAAAAAAATATAAATAATACATTAAAAGTTTTAAAACATATAAAGAGACACATAAAAAAAGTTTTAGAGCTTCCTTTCCTCCCCACCCCACACACATACACAAATGTGTGCGTTGTGGCGCCTATATAGGAAAACGGCAATTGCCCTACACACGTTATTTATCACCAGGCTGGAGTGAGAGCAATAATTTTAGCCCCAGAGCTCCTGCATAACTCTAAACTGATGACCTGTAGGAGCTTTTAAAGCACTGCCTATGAAAAAATATAGGGTACTGAAGTTTTGTACCATTTCACAGGCGCACGCAATTTTAAGGTTTGACAGGCTGGGTGCCTATTTGCTCGGCACCTCATCTTTTATATTTCACCAATAACTGGGTAATAAATTGCATTTGTGTGGCCAAAAACTAACTTTGGTGTCTTCTTTACTGAAATGTTGCGTTTCATAAACTGTTGTGCTAATATCGTCTAACATAAAAAAAATAAAACTACCAACATTATATTCTTTAGGGTATCTGCTTTCAGAAAAATATGTTTTGAGGGTTTAACCACCTCCTGCCCGTCATATAAGGAAATGACGGAAGGGCGGCAGCTCTCTTGTTCTGGGAGGATGGCATATGACATACGACAGCAATTGGTGGTGCGCTGTGTTCCTGGGACACAATGAATCACTGATCAAAGTAAAGAACCGATGACACATGCTCTGTCATGTGATCAGCTGTGTCAAATCACAGCTGATCACATATAAACAGGAAATGCCGGTTATCATCAGTGCTCTCCTCGCGCTGACAGCGCGTGAGGAGAAGGAAGCCGATAAGTGGCATTCCTCAGAGGGTACATCTATACTGATGATCAGTGTAGCCCCATCAGTGTCACCTGTCAGTGCCCATCAATGCCACATACCAGTGCCCATCAGGGCACCTCAATGCCAAATATCAGTACCTACCAGTGCACATCAATGCCACATTTCAGTGACCATTAGAGTTGCCATTCAGTGCCAACTATGCCAGTCAGTGCCACCTATCAGAGCCAGTCAGTGACATCTATCAGTGCTGACAATCAGTGCCACCTATCAGTGTTCCAATCAGTGCTGCCTGACAATTCCAATCAGTGCTGCCTATCAGTACCCATTAGTGCTGCCTATCAGCGCCATACATGAGTACTGCCTTTCAGTACCCATCAGTGATGCCTGTCAATGCCCGCCAGTGCCACCTATCAGTGCCTCCTCATCAGTGCTACCTATCAATGCCCATCAGTGCAGCCTCATTAGCACACATCAGTGAAGGAGAAAAATTACTTATTTACAAAATTTCATAACAGAAAGTAGTTAGTTTAGCAAAAACTAAAAAACCCAGGGGTGATTAAATACCACCAAAAGAAAGCTCTATATGTCTCAAAAAAATGTTGTTTGGATACAGTGCTGCAAGACCGTGCAATTGTCATTCAAAGTGCGACAGCGCTGAAAGCTGGCAATTGGCCTGGGCAGGAAGGGGGTAAAAGTGCCCGGTAGGCAAGTGGTTAAAGTAATCTTCACGCCTTAAATGATTTTTATCATGTGAACAAAAAATTTAAAAAAAAATCTTTGGTACCCACGGGGTTAAAATACCTGTCTTCTGTATTCCTAACACTGCGCCCTCTCTCCTACAAGATGCAGTGTGGAAATGTTCGTTTGCCTCACCTGCCAGCTGCCCGTAGCCAGTGAGGGGAAGCAGGGAAGGCATAAATCCCCCCCTCATTACACAGAGCCATTGTGGAGGGGAGGGGGTTAGTGGGAGGACGATGGTTGGGGAATAGCAAAATGCACCTTTGCCTGTGTAGACTAAAATCCTTGCACTGGCCCTGAGCGTCTTTCCCAAAAGCTCCAGTTCTGTCTCATCTGTCCATTCTTCTTCAAGCGGTGTGGCTTGTCAATATGCATCATAGCAATATTAAGTCTGTCTTTTTATGTTTTACTTCCAATGGATGAGCTCTCCTTTTCTTCTCTTCCTCTTCTTTTTTTGAGCACAATGGGGTCAATTCACTAAAGATTACCGCATGCGATAACATGGTAACGTGACTCATATGCATAAATTATTGCATGCAGTAAAAAAATGTCCAATTCACACACAAAAATAAAAAAATAATAATGATTATGAGGTATTTAATGCAGAATGAAGAATGTGCCGGTAAATATTGCAAAAACCATGCAGTAAGCTGTTAAGTCCAATTCACAAACGGAACAGAAAGTTAAAAAAGATGCAATATTTATCACCAGGGTTTTGCTGGCGGCAGTACATTTGGTATTTTTATCAGATGGTCCCCCCCAATCCATACCAGGCCCTTTAGGTCTGGTATGGATTTTAAGGAGAACCCCACACCAGAGGCGTCACTAGGATTGGTGTCACCTGGAGCAGTAACACGTGGTGTCATCCCGGTCCTTGGCTCTGTGTTGAGAGATGGAAGGATATCCTGTGCAGGGACTGGCCAGTGATGTGTGATGCAGAGGGGCAGGGTCATGACCATTCATGGACTGACATGTAGAGTAGGGGCCGTCCAATCAGAGGGCGGGGGCGGGCTTCACTCCAATGTATGGGGGACAGGCTGGGTGTGAATTGGCCTGCAGCAGCCAGTGTAATCCCGGGGGTCGGACACTTCCCCCCCTCCCCCCCACTGGGACCCGACATTTCTCATCCACCTCATGATATGGCTGTTCCTGGGGCTGCAGGAGGGATGAGGAGCCCCAGTTCCCGGGGAGAGGACGGGGGACACTCTGCTCGGATGGATGACAGCCACTGACAACTCTTCTTTTCATTTTGGTTTCACCCCCTGTGATGGTGTCACCCGGTGCAACCCTCATCCCCCTAGTGACGCCACTACCCCACACCAATATTTTTTTCGAAAATGGTGTGGGGTCCCCCCAAATCCAATACCAGACCCTTAGGACAGTTTTCTCTTCTTTGCTTTCTTTGGTCCATGCTCAATGTGGTGCACATGATGACACTAAACAGCTCAATAGAGGGTATTTACTAAAACTGGAGAGTGCACAATCTGGTGCAGCTGTGCATACAAACCAATCAGCTTCCAAGTCTTACTGTGAAAGCTTAATTGAACAAGTTGAAGTTAGAAGCTAATTGGCTACCATGCACAGCTGCACCAGACTCTGAGTGATCCAGTTTTAATAAATCCCCCCCAGTGGCTACTTTTCTCCATTGACTAACTGACTGATAACAAGATTAAAGACAGGCGGACTGTTTCCATCCGACCACCCATTGAGGACAGCGGGCTGTGTTCTTGTCCGTTCTGCACAAGCGGAGCGGACACAGACCTGTCATCCACTTGCTCAGCAGCGATCAGCAGACAGATCCCCCATTGAGCAAGCGGATCCACTGATGGGTACACCCACGTGAAAGGAGCCTAAGGGTACCAACAACATTACCCCCTGCTGTATATCTTATTGGAGATCAGCTTTAAAGTAGAACTATGGGCAAAACTTTTTTTTTTTCATTTTGGGTAGCATAAGGAAGGGTTATAACCTATCAGTTTTTTGTTTTTGTTTTGCCACTGGGGAGATTTACCTTCATTTGTTGTCCCATAGCAAAAACAGGAAGCAAGAGAAAATCCCCGCTAAATTATGTGAATTCCTTGGGGACCCCCAGGTCACCAGAACTAGTGTCCCCATTGGAAGAAGTCATCTTACTTTTCTGGGGATAACTCAAAATGTGGGATTTTCTTTTACTTTCACTTTCAATAATAATGACAAACAGGACAAATAGAGAGGTGATCCTCCCTAATGGGGCACAGAAAGCAATAAAACGTAATAAGCATTCAAATCCTTTTCCAATCTGTCAAAAACTAAAAAAAGTGTTGCCTTTAGTTATACTTTAAATATTAAAGTGTTACTAAATCCAGGACCCTGCATTCACTATATCTGGTCTCCCCGGACCCTGAATTCACTATATCTGGTCTCCCCTGGACCCTGCATTCACTATATCTGGTCTCCCCGAACCCTGCATTCACTATATCTGGTCTCCCCGAACCCTGCATTCACCATATCTGGTCTCCCCGGACCCTGCATTCACTATATCTGGTCTCCCAGGACCATGCATTCACTATATCCGGTCTCCCCGGACCCTGCATTCACTATATCTGGTCTCCCAGGACCATGCATTCACTATATCCGGTCTCCCTGGAACCTGCATTCACTATATCCGCTCTCCCCAGACCCTGCATTCACTATATCTGCTCTCCCCGGACCCTGCATTCACTATATCCGGTCTCCCTGGACCATGCATTCACTATATCCGGTCTCCCCGGACCCTGCATTCACTATATCTGGTCTCCCAGGACCATGCATTCACTATATCCGGTCTCCCTGGAACCTGCATTCACTATATCCGCTCTCCCCAGACCCTGCAGTCACTATATCTGGTCTCCCCGGACCCTGCATTCACTATATCCGGTCTCCCTGGACCATGCATTCACTATATCCGATCTCCCCGGACCCTGCATTCACTATATCCGGTCTCCCCGGACCATGCATTCACTATATCTGGTCTGGTCTCCCCGGATCCTGCATTCACTATATCTGGTCTCCCCGGACCCTGCATTCACTATATCTGGTCTCCCCGAACCCTGCATTCACTATATCTGGTCTCCCAGGGCCCTGCATTCACTATATCTGGTCTCCCTGGACCCTGAATTCACTATATATGGTCTCCCACAGTACACAGAACATGGAAATGCAGTTATTTTAGTAAATATAAACTGCTAAATACCTTTTCTTATCAGCAGTTAGAGCAGTCTTGTGACTCCTATCAGTGTCCAGTAAGGCACTGGTTAACGCTTGTAGGAAGAATTTTCTTTCTGTTCTAGGAGGATGTAGTACCCTGACCTCTGTCTATACAGTGCTGATTGGCCCTGTGCTAATCACATGCATCCTCCTTAGAAAAAAAAAACCCTCTCTAGCAATACACACCAAACTAAGCATATGGAGAGAGTGTCTCCACAGTATGTCTTATCAGAGATAAGAGGGTGCACTGAAAGAAGGGGAGGATCAGAGAAATCAGAATCAAACATCTTTTTACACAATCCAGAGTGAGTATAAACAAGCATACTTTACTGCATATACAAACTGATTTTATTGTTGTGGGTTTAGTAACACTTTAAATTATTAGATGAGCCCCATTGTGTTATTTCACCTGTAAATGTTTTCTACGAATGTTCTCTTTACCATATATGAAGATACACTTGATTCCAGCTAATTGTGGGCTGCACGTCGGGAATATTTGTGTCATATTTTCGGATGTTTTTGTCACCACACAGGAAATGTGCATGCCAAAATCATACTGTGGGCCCAATTCTGCATTTCCTTCAGTTTGCGGTTTGCTGTTGTAGAAGTGCTGATCTCTCATTAGTGTCTCCCTTAACACATACAAATCTGTTTTCTTGTATTCCCTTACAATAACTCTGCCAAACTGCGAATGACTCACAATTATATTGTGTATTTAAATGCATTGTTTCCCTGTCTCTGATGTGGGATCAATTTAATGTAGATTAGATAAAAGAAACTATGACACTGTATATACCGAATAACCACTTCATATCCATCCAGCAATTATCATACCTGTCATAGCTTCGTAGGACTAATTTTTGTTTTATGCGAGTAGACGGGGAAAAAACAGGTTTTTTCATAACAATGAACTGAATTCTAAAACTCACTTCCTTGCCTATACATAAAAACATAGTAGCTGAGGACTGTGGTAGTTTTAATAGAATAGTTTTTTGTGAGCCACCAGGAGTTAACTTACTCTATTATTAGTGTTAATTGTGTGCTTAAGTGAATATTTATTAAATATTAGATCGCTAGGCACTAATTACACCCTCTCTAGGTGTATAAATATAAACTATGAATTCTTGTACTGTACCGCGCTCCAATATTATCAACCTTTGTGATTGACCTTTTTTGATTGTGTGAATTTCTTAATATACCACCTATAAATCCAATCATTACTTACTTCTATGGTGCTTAAATATACAATTAACATAAATTCATTTATAAATGCGAATTAAAAAATTATATGTGATTATAACAAATATTAATAAAAAATTAATGAAAAATTGGAATGTCAATTCTATGTGAATAAAATTAATAAAAAATTAATAAAACATTAATAAAAAATGAGAATGTCAATTATTTTCTTTGAATTTGAGATGGTGTTGTTATTCAATTTAGTTAATGTGATGAGTCTGTGTTCGCAGCTTGAACCTCTCCCTCCTGTCTCCTCTCCTCTCTCCTCAGCTCAGCCTTCTCAATTGTGCTTTCTTCACTGGCTGCTTTGTTTATTCCTCCATATACGGAACATGCAGAGAAGGGAAAAGAAACATAGTGTCTAATCGGGATATAAGTGATTTATTGCTCTTTGATCTCCCACTCACATTGTGTAAATGTAAATAGAGCTTTGCATACAATGTATCCAGATCGTGCTTCAGACAGCCTGGCTGGTGTGTTTGCTTTCAGTAAATATACTCGCCATTCCTCTGTGGATGCGTGATAACGTCACCGCCCCTCCCCTACGCGTTACGCTACAGGGACTCGTAGCTTCCTCTGGGGGATGTGGATTTCCAGGAAAGACTGCATCTGTACTAATCATAAAATCCATTGAATTTAATTGACAGGTAATCCACGCTGAGAGCAATATTTGGACTGCCATTGCTGACCTGTAAAGTTGCACTGCATTCAGATTTGTGAACAGAAAAATCTGCGTTTGAGTTTCTGCGTATGGATCGTATCTTATGCTGTACTGGTTTAGACATTTGTAGTACTTCACTTACTGCTCACGAGATTGCAAAATCATTTCAAAAACAAGATTGATGCAATTTGTAGGGACATCGCCACTGCACAGACATCCATTCCACTTAGCATACCTTATAGTAAACCTCCCTCAACACTTTCCTCTTTTGACATTGCTACTACCGAAAGAGGTCACTAAGGTTTTCCCAGAAGCCCGTCTCACTACATGCCCCTGGATCCTGTCCCCTCACAACTACTACGGTCACCCTCATCTTCTATCCTATGCTCCCTCACTCACATCTTCAATCTCTCCCTCTCTAATGGTGCCTTCCCCTCCCCTCTAAAGCATGCACACATCACTCCCATACTTAAAAAGCCCTCCCTGGACCCCACCAACCTGAACAACCTAAGTCCCATCTCCCTGCTCCCGTTTACCTCTAAACTCTTAGACCGCCTGAGCTCTTACCTCACCGTCAACAACTTTCTTGACCTTTACAGTCTGGCTTTCACTCACTACACTCCACTGAAACTGCCCTACTAAAACTCACTAATGATCTACTAACTGCTAAAACCAATGGCCACTACTTCATACTCTTACTACTTGACCTCTCTGCAGCTTTTGATACTGTTGACCATCCCCCCCTCAAAAAAAAAAACTCCACTCTCTTGGCCTCTGAGACTCTGCTCTCTCCTGGTTCTCCTCCTATTGCAGTGCTCCTTTAGTGTAACCTATAACTCTGTCTCCTCCTCTTCACTCCCTCTTTCTGTAGGGATCCCTCAAGGTTCCGTCCTTGGAACCCTACTCTTCTCCATCTACACCTCCTCCCTTGGTCACTTGATAAACTCCCATGGCTTCAAGTACCATCTCTATGCTGATGACACACAAATCTATCTTTCTACCCCTCACCTCACCCCTTCAGTCTCCTCTCGCATTACTAACCTACTGAGCGACATATCGGCATGGATGTCACTCCACTTCCTCAAACTCAATCTTTCCAAAACTGAGCTCTTAGTATTCCCTCCAGCCCTTGCTCCGTCCCTTGACTTCTCCATCAAGATCAAAAATACAACCCTCAGTCTCTCCCCTCATGCCAGGGTACTAGGTGTAATCCTAGACTCCCATCTGTCCTTTCAGTCCCAAATCCAATCGCTGTCCAAATCTTGTAGACTTCACCTCCATAACATCTCCAAGATACGACCGTTCCTAACCTCGGAAACCACTAAGCAACTTATTCACTCCCTTGTTATCTCTCGCTTTGACTATTGTAACTCCCTCCTCATTGGCCTACCTAATCGCAGGCTATCCCCTCTTCAATCGATCATGAATGCTGCTGCCAGACTCATCCACCTTACTAACCGTTCTGTATCAGCCACCCCTCTCTGCCAATCCCTCCACTGGCTTTTCATTGCCCAACGGATAAAATTCAAAACACTAACAATAAACGTATAAAGCCATTTATAACTCTTCCCCAAATTACATCACCAATCTTGTCTCCAAATATCACCCAAACTGTACTCTCCGCTCCTCGCATGACCTCCTGCTCTCTAGCTCCCTTATCTCCTCCTTCCATGCTCGTCTACCCCAATTTATCAGACTATCGCCTACTCTGCTCACTTTTGAAAACCTATCTCTTAAGGGAAGCCTATCCTGCCCTCAACTAATTATGGAATCTTCTACTCTTCCTACCAGTCCTTCCCCCACAGTTACTACCTTTTGTACCACTAGCCCCTCCCTCCTAGATTGTAAGCTCCAAGGAGCAGGGCCCTCCTAACCTTCTTGTATTGAACTGTATTGTCTCCCATTATATTGGAAAGCGCTGAGCAAAACTGTTGGCATTATATAAATCCTGTATAACAGGGGTGTCCAAACTTTTTTTCAAAGAGGGCCAGATTGGATGAAGTGAACATGGTGGAGGGCCGAACATTCTTTGAACATTCTTTGAACTATTACAATTAAATGCAAATAAATTATTTTATGCCAAGTTAATTGAAAACGACATACTTTTAATTTCATAACATTAAGATCAACTGACAGCTGAGTTTTCACAATGTATTGAAAATAAATTAAAAAAAAAACTTACCTGCACTAATGTGAAGGGTGAAAAAAGGTAGCTGGAGCTGAAGTCTCTGCTCGACAGCCGGGAGGGGAAGAGAAACACACTTCACGCTGGAAGCCCGGCCCTGACGTCACCGCCCTCTGTCGCTCCCAGCGCGGCGCAGTCACGCATGCGCACTGCTCTCAAGCAGAAGACTGTCTGCTACAGAAGGGAGGGCCGTGCGACAGCCGCATTTACACAGACCAGGGAGAACGCGCTGCAGTCAGGCATGCGCACTGCCCTCTGCTCTCAAGCAGAAGACTGTCTGCCATAGAAGGGAGGGCCGTGGGAGGGCCACATTACACAGAGCAGGGAGGTCTGTTGGAAGGCCGTATTAAACCGACCCCCGGGCCGTAAATGGCCCGCGGGCCGGACTTTGGACATGCCTGCTGTATAATAATAATAATTTGTGCCAACATTTACAAGCTCAAAGCATAAGGTGCAAATGTACTCTAAT